ATTATGAATGCACCTTTTAAGTTTTCACTTAAATAAAAAACGTGCTTAAAATCTCTATAACTAAATATTTATTTAAATGTTAATTATAGAGCGTCCGAACATCACCTATATATCACATTTCGATGGAATGGTTTATAAACTTCACCTTTAATTAGATTCTTCATAGTTATGCAAGTTGAGCTATGTTGATATATGAGTTGTTGGCAATGATTTGGGGGATATGGTTTAGGATATGTTATAGCACAGATAAACAGTTTAATATTTTTAAATTTATAACAAAATAGGTTGACCTCGGAAAATGATTCGATATACGGAACTCATTTTCAAATAAATTGCTTTAATAAAGTTGAAATAGTGTTTCGAATATATGCGTAATATTGTAATCAAAGAATCGGAGAGATGCCAGCTGGTCCCCATGTATCGGTTAGTATTTTACGAATATGTTGTAAATAAAATGAATAAAAAATTAACTTCATTACGTATTCAAGCGTAGGTAAGTAATATCGAGAAAAAGTAGGTAGTGAGTGCCATTTCTTTGTCTTTTGGCTCGGTTTGGGGGCCACTGCTATTGCCCTATAATAAATATTGTAAAAATAATCTTTAGAAAAATAAAAACTATAAACATTTAAAATACCGTTGTGCCTTCAAAACTATATAGGATGAGGAAGTATATGCAATTTCTTTTTAAGTTTATTTCGACACAGAACGGTAGTTCCTGGAAAGCACAACAGAAATTCATTAAGAGGTGCATCTCTTAAGACATTTCTTGAGAAAGTCAAGAGATTATTTGAATGAAGGAACTATAGTATTCATACGCGGCTTGGCCAAATTAAAATCAAATAGTGTGTTTAATAAGGTGACTTGCTTTTAATGAATTCTATTTAAATATGTATGTATGAATTGAATGAAATTATATGAATAAAAGTAAATTATAACATCTTCTTTTAAATTTTTTGGATATTCTTATATATATTTTTGTAAACCAATATTTCCTTTTATTTTATTTTATTTTATTTATTTTAAAGAAAACTTACAGCTGTGTTTAAGGATATATCAATTCAATATATGCTGAAGGCCATTTAAAAGTTTTCACGTATGGTTAAAAAAAAAAAAAAACAGTGCGGTACGAAAAAACAGTAAAGAGGTAATATACTAGGCAATACTTAAGAAATAATAATTTGTCAGCATACGTTTTAACTGAATGGCTGATGTATTGAACAAGTCGATGTCTAATTTCTTCACTACGTCATTAAAGCGCCCGCTCGCCCTCATCGTATAAGCATTTAATCTATAATTGGTTTTACATAATGGTATATGTAAGTTGCAATGTCTTCGTCCTCTGCCACCACCATACGGAACATGTAAACCAATGCGCTCCAATAGTTCGGGACAATCAATTGACCCCTTCGCTATATTCAGCAAAAAGGTGAGATCGGCAATGTTTCTCCTCTCACTAAGCGGAAGGATATGGAATCTATGACAACGCTCAATGTAATCCGGGGTAAAAGTCTTAGTCCTATATTGCAAGTAACGCAAGAAACAATACATACTTTGAATCTCAGAATTTTCTCAAACAGTTTTAGAAACAAAAGTTTGAATTACTCCTTTATATATCGTAATCAGCCTATTAATATCCCCACTGGCTGGGGCCCAGGTCTTCCTTATACATAGATGTAATATGGAAAACAGACTATAACCCACCGCGCGGGGTCAATTCTTCGTTAAATACAGGCAAGTTTTATTCAAATAAATTAATTGAATAAAAAATTACATTGAGTTGTAATGTCGAATGACATCACACTTTTGTACATGTTCTATGTAGTTGTGACGAAGCAAGCCCCCACTCCTACTAACACTAATGCGTATTATCCACAGCGTATCATCTATATCATTTCTTGATAAATTAAAGCTAAATAATACAAATCTATTATTTGAGCGACGGATTGAATAGAATTTCTTTTTTTTACTCATCATAACTATTATATACTTCTTATTATCATAGACATGCTAAAAAAGAAGTAAATTAATATATTTGTCGGAGGGTAGTCTCAGGGGGCTATTACGAAGCCCAAATAGATCGTCCATATCGGGGGACTATCTTCAAAATAACACTGCAGGCGTGTATACCAATGTGGACTTATTCCATTTTATCACTTTTCATACGAAAATATATCGAGATGAGCATGATGTCGTCGGATGTCTTTACTCCTCGGCGATCGGAAACAGAATGCCTCCAAAATGGCGGCAACTTGATTTTTGTTAACGAACTGTCAAAATCAGTGTTACCATTCTAATAAAATTAAAAGTATCGATGATCACGCCCTCTATAATCGAGTAATTAGCAATTAAAAAAAAGAATCTAAATCAAAAGATCTTTGTAACGATGATGGAGATATTCTGCGGCATATTATTGTATCAATTTTGCATCCACTATGCTATACTGGAAAATATTCTTGATAAAAACCCAGGTACTCTGAGATGGAACTCGAAACCACAACCTTTAGCTCGTGGGTTCATTAAGAAGAAATAAAAATATTAAAAGTATTAAATAGTTTTAACATAACTGCTGATTTGTCCCAAATATTATGTTCTTCTAGCGATGCGTCGTGCTTTTCTGAAGGCTTACTCTGTTTCTTCGAAAAAGAAAATCATCTATTTTCGAAACCCTTATACGACGAAAGGAACACATTATTCGATAATTAATAATGAAACGGAGGTAGGTACACCATAATTATATAAAAAGATAATCGATACAATTTAGTGGTACAATCGGCGGCCTTTTCGCTAAAAAGCAATTTTCGTTCGTAGACAAACAGAGTAACCCCTCTGCTCCTTGCAAGTCCTCTTGACGCGTTTTATAAATTATCGTTATCGTTGTGTGTCCTCACCTTTATTATCAAAGTTCCGTATACTCATCATTCACCTCATTTCTATCTCATTTTATTTATATTGTGTATCGGATACTAATATTATTATTTTGGTGAGTGACATTTAACATTGAAAAATAATGATAGAAGAAAGTAACCGAGCAAGGAATTCAATCCTGTCTATGAAATATTGAAATTCTTTCATAAATTACTTCTATTAGGGGAAAATGTGTAGATTGTAAATTTGTCCAAGACAATTCACTCTTATTTTTATTAAGAATAATGTAGATGTAATTACAGTATTCCACTTTATGGACACTGGTCCATATTTGCTTATTTTTCTCTATTATATTTTTCTACTTTTAAGCATGTTGTGTCACTTAAACAAAACAATTATGTTATCTGTACGATAGGTCTGTGATTTAATTTGAAAATTTAGTTCCTCTCATCAGTACTTATGTAATATATAAGTAATATATTATTAGTTAATTGATTGTCGATTTCACTGTACAGAATCTATTCAAAAGCTCCAATAATGAAGTGAACGGACAGAGTATTTATCGCCGCTCTTGTATTTCAATGGGTTTTTGCACACAAATAAACTGTCACAGGCTCTATTGTACTGCGATGGTAACTGATCAATACAGAGATTTATCATAAGGCGAGATTTATAAGCCTAACCTCACACTCCCGTATACAATACCCTTTGAAAAGTAGCCTTTGAAAATAAAAGGTACATGTAGAAATGATATGAGTACTTAAATAATCGTTTTACATATATTTCTTTATGAAAAACTAGCTGATTCGGCGAACTTCGTAACGCCTTATACCCGTCCTTTATAAATTATATCTTTTTATTAATTTTCATATACAGACCTTGTGCTGACAATATGGAATACATCAAAAAAATCAGTATATTTGATGCAGTTGTTTGGATATATAGATATATATATATATATATATATATATATATATATATATATATTATAATTATACAAAATTTTAGGAAAATGTGATGATTACAATGGGAAAACTTTCCTGAATAGTTCTCGGATTGGATCTTTTTTTCGCTGTTATAAACGTCAAAATAAAATATTTTGGTGATATCTGGTGGAAATGTATATTTTGTTTTGTTAACTACAAAAAAAACATACAGTTGAGAACCTCCTCCTTTTTTGAAGTCGGTTAATAACTAAGATAATAGAAGTAAACTTAATATATTTAATCGATTTTACATTCACAATGATTAATAATTTTTTTTAGCTCAGTGGTTAGAACAGTCGCCAGGATTGCGAAAGGTCATGGGGTCGAGTCCCATCTCAGAGTACCAGGGACAAAGCATTTTACATTAGGAAGTAGCCTTTTTGTATTATAGTATGCCAGAATATAATTATATACGTTAAATCAAATTCAAATCAAAGTTAGATTTTTTTTTTAGTTTAAAGAATAGTACAACAGCGTTGGCACCATTAACTATAAAGCTAAGCAATAATTTCACAAGTCAACGTTAATGTTAAACTGTTAATTCGTTTCAACACGGCCGAACGCGCAATTGTTTTTACGATTTCATTTCACAGACAGTAAAATTTGCGAGAACATTCCGAAGCGTGTAAATTAGCCACACTCGGATTGGGAGAACTGGCGGACGGCGAACGGGCCGGCAACCATTTATTGAAAGTCGGAGGGCAGCGCGTGAGGCCATTAGTTGTCCCGCCGCCTGAAAAACTGTCGTTTCCCCTGAAACATTGCGCCTGGGCGCGCTATTCAATTGGCAAATGTATTTTATTCGGTGCCAATCGATCTCAGACAACAAAACGCACACTGTGAATGGCGAGTCCCGCGAGGCTATAAATCACCGACGTCTTCGATACGTTTAATGAAAAGATCTTTCACCACCCACACTGTTTTATTTAACTGGAAATATGCGATTCGTGCGCGTTTAAACATACCCTTACCTATGTCTCAGTAATAGGTATTCCATGTCCGAACCGCTCCGTGAAAGTTCTGGAGATCCGTTACGCTTAATTTTCACATATAGTAGCGTCCAGTTTCTAAGTTATAATCAAAATAAACGATGTAATAGTCCAATGAAAATTGGTAAACTTTGGATTTAATAAAAGGTTATTGTTTCAGATTTGTTCCATGGTTACTTGAAAGGACAACATGCTGGTTGTATGGGTTTTATAAGATAATAAAATTAGGCTGGCTATGTTATAAAATGATATAATAATAGTGTTGTCAAGCTGAAAGATGAAAGAAACGAGGAGAGCGCGCCGGAGTCTTGACGTGACTTGACGTGTGGACTTCCTCGCGCGCAACATGGCTCCGCATTTTGCCGCTATATTACTTTGGCTTGGTGGCAGTAAGTATTCTCTACGTTATACATTAATTACATTAGTATTTGTCTAGACACAGTGCATATTCACCAGTAGTTGCACAATATTCTTCATTAAATTTTTGGGCTAATCCACGAGTGTTTACGCAGAATATATAATATAAGACCAAGCTGAGTATGATATATTATATTATACTCAGCTTGGTCTTGTATAAATATTAAATCTTCCTCTTAAGTTACGCTGTATATTGATGAAATCCGCATTAAATTTCTTTGTGTAGTTAAAAGAATATCAGCATATACACAGCGGGAAGCTACTTTAATTTATACTATGTGTAGATCGTGTACAATTTTTGTACTGGTTTGGCCTCCGGTATTTTTCTATCGAGTCCTTAAACTTTTTCTTGTAAAATAACTGTATAAAAGTGATGAATTATTAAAATCTACTCTGATAGAATTGAGTTTTCGAATCCAATCCCTTAAGTAAAGCTGATTATTGGAATTTCCCAAGAAGCGGGATGTTTTCTAAAAATTCTGTGAAGTGCCAATCTCTCTCGTTGCTGCGATCGCGGAATTATTGGTTCGGAACACGCAAGAGCGTTCATTTATTATACATGGATCAGGCTCCTGTTCTTATTTAGTTAACAATTCAGTTTTTTTATTTTTTTTATTTTAGAATAAGAAACAAGTAGTATTATACACTTATTAATGTTTGAAATGAATTTGAAGTCCAGTAGCGTCATCATTATCGAAGCGCCCAAGGTGATCAAAAATATATTGAATACAGAAGTTCAATTTTATCTAGGTGACCAAATAGCATTTTGATCAAAACTAATTCAAAACGAGTTGTTGTTTGTAGATTTTCTTATTCTTTTAATTAAAGGGGTTTTTATTCTTTTGAACATGTCAACACCATCATACCATACTTGAATTTAAACTAATTTTATGACACTACTATTAATCGATGTGCAATGATAATATAATTATTCTGTTATAACATCCGGCACTTAGTTAACAAATTTTATTAAAATCTGTTTATAACAGGCCATATCTCGTGCCCAAAGCGGACACCGCTCATTGCCCCATGTCACTCCCGCATCCAACTTCGCGAAAGTTCCAGTGAATTATTCGTTTCCTTGACGTTTATTGCCCAGAGAAATGTATTTGGAAATTAGTAGCCAAGCTACGACAGCGGTTTTGTTGATGAGACACGAGACCGCACATAAACCTATTTTTTGGAATAAATTTATTACAAAAAGGGTTGGAAGATAAGCTCAATGACGAAGTTCGTAGTTTAGGGGAATTAATTTAATATTCTTCTCGTGATTCTGAATAAAAACAAGGTTTTTTGAATTGTTTTTTAAGCTGATATCTTTGTATTTTATAATTATAAATATGTATATAGCCTCAATATTTAAATCATCTTGATTGTGACTTAGCCAAATGAACTAGTTAGCTTCACAAATATATACGTAATACTGAGTTATGCAAGTATTTTATAGCTTATTAAAAATAAAGTTTTTGAGGGTTTCAGATTTAATTATGGGTCAATTAAGTTATGTCAAATTGTTAACAATTTTGTTTGATTAAAACATAATATATCTTTACGTCATACTTCGGTTGTTACTCCAAGACAGGATAATTCGATATCTGTAGATCCTAATAGACATGAAACGTGCACTTGATGCGATAAAACATGTATATAAAAGATTCTCTGTATTTATCTTTAAGGCTGGTGTTAGGTGTAGGTTGAGCGGTTTCAAACTTAAAGTTCGGTTTCAAGAAGTTTAGAAGGAGCCTACAACGAAATAAACTTTACAATAATTGACTGTCGAAACGCGCTGAATCTATAAGATAAAACGATGAACAGGCAGAGATCCAACAGAGTTTACTTGTCTTTGCTTGTAATTTTAATTAAAAGCTAAGTAATATTAGGAAGAAGATAACTCAACCAATCTATAGAGAATCGTATTTAAAACTTTCCTTCTTCATTTCCGGCTACAAATAGATGACGGAACATATTTGTTTAATATTTTATAGAATCAGGCGTAATTTTGCGGAAGTCCATTGCTATAACCGTGAAACTATATGATATGTAGCAACTTCCACATTTAGTCAGGTATTGACTGGATGCAGATATTGTCTGGATGTGGAGGTTACTAGATATTATAGTTTTGAGGAGGCGATGGTGCAGCAGTTAACGCGTTCGTTATATAAAGTTAATCAAATTTCGCTACTCTTACTAACTTGGGATTTCAGGAGGTTCGCTGTTAATTCAGGCTTTATCTGTAGATAACACCCACTAATCCGCATTCGGCCCGAGTGGGTTAAGACCCGTTTTCCGTATTCGATTCCATTCATAGAGAAAGCCTGTGTTCCAGCAGTGATATTAATAGGCTGATGAAGAAAATTGAAAAAGTGTGAAATTTTTACATAAGTATTAATAATAAAAAAATCTCAGTACAATAAAAGCTGTATAAATAATTGATCATTTTCTTAAAAATATACTCTTCTCCTACTCGTGTTCGTACTCCGTGCTCGTGCTTCGTGCTCGTGCTTCGTGCTCGTGTTTCGTTCCTGTGATGGATATTACAGTAAACAATTAATTTCTGTATAATTAAGTTCCGTAATTTTGCATATTACTCAATTCTTTTTATTATAAATGTAAAAGTAATATAAAGCAATTCAAAATAATGTATACCAAACCCTTATATTACTGTCATGCACCTTAAATATAAATCAGTTGATACATAAGCCTATCAAACTACCTATCTGCAAATAGATTAATATCTCCTACTGTACAAGTACAAGTAAGTTTCAAATTACTGATTACCTACTTTCTTACGAAATATGTATTATATGCGTGAAAGTTTGTAAAGTTGTCTGTCGAATAGACCATACACTATTAACTGTCATGTCTGTTTTTACACCTTACAGTACCCAATGAATTTTCTCTGTATGTATTCTACAGAATAAAGAGCAACTAATTGGTATTTTAATTGACGCTTATTGAAAACTCTCTCGTATTTCGAATTAGATTTTATCATTTGGGCAGTAAAAAAATCAGTCCTTCCTCGTGAGCCATCTTTATAGCAAACTGGTAATAAAGATACATACTCGTTTTACGGAAATATTCCTCAGTTTCGTGCATATATCGAAGTTTTTATACAGATCCCTAACGTTTTTCATTATATTAAATTGCCTATGATCATCGGGGATAATGTACGATTCTAATGGTAACATATTCAAATCGATTCAGTAGTTCCAAAGATATTTGATACAAACAATTAATCAAAACTTTCCCCTTTTATAATAGATATTAATAAAGTATAGATAAATACAAAAATTGGAAAAAGCGACAGAACTTTTCCAAGACACGAAATGTATTGATATGTACTTATTATGTATGCAAAATACACCAGTGAAACAAATTCGCATCATATATTACGCCAGATGAAATATTATTATATGACTGGGAATCATAAATTGAATTTGGTTATATTGTAATGAGTACATGTCGACGGGGATTGTGTATTGGCTTGATCTTGAATTCGATCACGTACGGTACGCTTGATTTATGTATTCCAACCACCTCTGGTATACCTGAAGGCCAAGATTTGATTACTTACGGCGGCCTGAATTTTGCCCGCCCGTATCAGTTCATTGCGCAGGGAATAAAGAAAAACTGTTCTACGTCATACGATTTTTAATGTTTCTTTCGGTATATTACACTTGGCTCAAATTAAACTAACAAAACGAACATTATTTGTTAATTTTCATTGGAAAAACATAATCAAATAATAATACAACTAAATTAAGCCCTTCTGTCGTGTGTTATCAACATTGAGAGGTTATCAAAATACTTTATTCCGCCATTTAGTACCAACGGCCATTGAGGATTCATACTAAATAGTACAGTCATAAACACTTTAGATATATACACTAAATTTCAAGTCCATCGATCAGAAGGAAGGGCTTTCTGAGCAATTTCTGTATTTTTACCCATCAAGTTTAACAAACCCATCCCAGTTGAAATGGATGTATATTTTTGAATTTAAATTATATGATGATTTTAAAATTAAAGCGCTTAGTTTAATGCTTAAGTGTTACACAAACATTGTGGCCGCATTTCCCAAACAATGTGTTTCAGTTTACCGCCGTTCAAAGACACGGGGGGCAATCATCTAATGAATTTCAAGTACGTCAACTTATACCTCTATACGTCGAGCGAAGTGCCTCTTATGTTTCTTTAGATAATGTTGCTTCTGTAAATTCAGAACTGACTACCTCACAATCCATTCACAAAGGAGTCTTAGGAATTATTACATTTGGTTTCACAAATAAATTTTAAACTAACATATCCTATTGGTGAGATTTTGAATTGCGCTCATAGAACCAAATTACATTGCACTGGAAAATATTTTCATTAGTGACAGAAAAATAAAGCGTTCCAAATTACGTTTTATTCTTTTAACATATTTCGAAATAGAGTTATGAATTTAAAAAAGTAATAACGCCAGAAGATAAAGAATTTCTTTTCAATATTATTTCACGGAAGAACTCAGAATAATTAATAGTTATATGATATTATTAATAACATAACATATAATATTAATAATATGATATTAATAATTAAACAGTAATAAAACAAATGTAATGTTGGGAACTATAGGTTTATTTATATTTTTCTTTGATTTGTGTTCATGTAATTTTGGATAACTGTTTGTTCCTTAATAAATAAATAAAAAAATATATATATTAACCTGTTGTTGAAGTAGGATTAGTAGATAAACAACTATTTTTCATGTTTTTAGATTATTAATTAAGTATTTTCAAATTGAATCCAGTGTTAATATACCTAATTTTAATAAATGAATATTAGTTAGCGTTCGCGAAAATTGATTCATAATATAAACTGCAAGTTAAAATTATACATACAAAATAACAAAAATCATTTCATATCAATAGCCACTTGCGAACTTTGCAATTTGTACGTCAAGCATATATTCGTATAAATAAATTATTTCATATAAATAATCGATGATCTTGGAGTCTTCAAAACAAGTCCACTGAAATGAGTAATACATTACAGATTCTCCTAGGGAGAGCTAAAACATGTCCCGCGGCTAACAATAAATTTTTGTGGAGCCCGAAGAAAAAAATAAGGGACGTAACAAAATATCCCATATCCTTGGGGAATGGACATCGTCGAGGGTAATGCACGTGACATTCCAGCCATTCTAATTCAGTTACGGCAAACTGCTACATAGATTCAATTATTTACTCTCACAGAAACCTATGTATGAATAATCTCTATATGTTGTATAGAGGTACTTACATTAAGAGATATTCGATATCTTAAAGCGATAAAAGTTGAAAACAACCTTCTCTTTTTTTTATTTTATTTTAAGCTTAAACAGATACAGGGTAATGAGAGAAAAAAAATAATAAAAAAATCGGAAATGTTACAAATACAAAAAACATAAATAGGTTTTATTACTTAAAGGTTCCGTGCTTCTGTGTGCCAACCAGTAACGAGTAAAATGGACTTTGTTGTTTAATTAAAGTCAAAAGGATCGAACCCATGCAGTCACCTCTGAAGCTATTTTTTCTATTTTACGTTGGTGCTTGTCGTTACAATACTTTTTTGGAGTCGATAGAAATAGAAAAATTCCGTGCGCTTCCGCTTAAACTAATCCTTTTTTTGTTTACGTAAACCTATCATTTTCCTTGAATATAAAAAGTATTTACTAACCATTCACGTAATTTGATTTCAGATAACAAAATTTTAACGAAATAAAAATCCGCTACAAACAACTAATAAAAACTGTGAAATCAAAATGGATCTTAACTTCAGTTTATAAGATACTCTCCACCCTTATCATCCCTTGTGTGTGTTAGGCTTTTAACTCCCCCTAAACCACAACGGATTTCAATGCGGTTTCAAATGTAACATAGACGTTTCTTTGGGAAAGTTTACCTATACGAAGGCGGGCTCGATAACTAGAAAAATAAAATCAAGGTTTCCAATACAGTCAACAATGCCGTATTGAAATCGTCGTTTTCTTATAATATCCATTTAGCATTGTTTTTTACAGACAGGTTAGGTAAATTTACAGTAATATTAATATTTGACTCTGTACTAAAGTAGAATATATATTAAATTTATTAATAATATACTATTTTTCCATGACTTCGACCGTAAAAATTCTCGTAGGTCTTCCGCTGTTACAGATTTTAAACTACACGACGAATTTTAATGTGGTCTTCGCCAATATTTAGAGAGATTCAAGAGAAAGATTTATATGCCCTTTTTAGTACAATCATGAGATGTTAAATTTGAAATGTCACATTTTAAGGTTTTATTACACTTTATTGTCTAGTGTGGTGTTTTATTATTTAATTTAGAACATGTACTGTGTCCTACGTCTGTGTTAAAAATAAATTAATTTGAATTCCATATGCAAATACAGCAACTAGTGGGCGAAGCCGCTGGCGGAAAGCTAGTGTGTAATATTCTTAGCATCTAACTGAATTAACAATGAAGGTCGAATATTCTCGACAAGTGCGTATCGTAATCATCACTTCTAGTTGCGCAATTACAAGCCCTCTCCCCTCGATATACATTAATTAGTAACTGAAAACGCTATTTGCACGATACATAAGCAGGCAATAAAAGCTGATTCGGAACGTTCACAAATGTTAATGTTTTCTAAGAATGTTGAAACAATACTATACATAGAAAAGAAAGTAATACTATACAAATATATTACACAATAAGCTGTTTCGACCCAAGTGACCGATTGCATACGTCATAATTTTCTGTACAATTAATATCAAATGTAATTATGTCCATTGCCATATTTTCCACGAAATTTTCAAAGCAATTTTTAATGGGATCTTTTAAGTATATTAGAATATTCTTATTCCTAATATATAATTCTAACAATAATTTTTCGCATAAAATCAGTTTGCTAAAAAACAAATAACAATAAATAACCGATTAATGGATTAGCATTGCTTGGAACTAAAACGGGCGAGAAGGTCTGTCAGAGACTTGAAGAGAGTTGGGTGGAAACTTGGATAAACTATCTCCTCACAGAAGAAAAGTTGGAGGAATTACGTATGAACGTATAGCGTATAGTACAATAATTGCAGAAGCATATACTCTTATATGTATCCCTTTATCTCTATCTATTTCTCCGTGGTACTTCATTGAGAATAAATGTTATAAGAGAATATCCGTTAAGTACACTTGCAATAGTAACAGTTTTATTTCAATCGCAGGTGTTCTAGGACTTCGGGATATACAGCTGAGCGTACCAGAGGCAGTCGGTATAGGAGCTACCGCCACGCTCGGCTGTCGCTGGTCGCTCGATTCCGGCGAGGCCCTCTACACAGTGAAATGGTACCACGGTGCGCAAGAATTCTTCAGATTTGTGCCTAAAGAGCTTCCCAACACCCGAGTCTTCTCACAAACGGGGATCAGTGTAGACGTAAGTTAATTAGAGTTATGTTTGATTGATCAATTTTGCATTAATATATTATAAAGAATACTAAAACAATGATGAGTTTTAAAAAATTGCTTAAATCTTTCATTCAAAGTCACAGTCTTTGATAAATGTAACTAATAATAATATATGCATAGTAAAATAAACAAATATTATATATGTAAGAAAAAAAAATAGTCAAATAATAATAACACAAATTCATATGCTATTTTTATTATGATAATCAAAATAATATTGAAAAATAACCCCTCTTCTGTTTACAGTCGGGGAATAAAATACTTAAACGGGTCATAAATAGTTGAACGGGTTTGACAGTACATGAGTTATATATATTAAGATTTTTTCGTCTCATTAACAGTTTTAGATATTTTAAATGCCACATCTAGACGCAGGGCAGATTAAAAGCTTCGCACAACTATGTATTGCACTAATAGTTAAGACTACCTTCTTTACTTGAAAAAAATAGTTTATACAGTGATTAAAAATCCAATTGTACGTTACGTTTTTCTTGGTGTTAAAATTGTTTATGTGTTGTAAGTCTCAGTAAGTGAATTTTTGTAATTCTTTTGAGAATAAAGATTTCTATAACCGAAAAAAAAAATTACAAACAAAATAAATAAATATGCTAAAATTATGATATTATGAACCTATAAATATGACATATAACTGCTACATTTGAATATTGAAGCTAATGTAACGATATTACTACTTTGAAAATAGTTTTATAATGAACATTGAAAAAAAAGGGGGTACAAAAATCTTTTACATAGTCTTCCTCTTACAACTTAGGTCAAGTGTAGTACTTTAAGTTACGTACCTAAACTCGATTTTGATATCGTTATCCATATTATGAATTGGAAACACTCATACCGTCGATATCGAGCCAAGTGGAATTAAGAACAAAATATTTCTCCAGATAATTTCTTCTTCTATTTCCATGTGCGCATCATGAGAGGAAAATTTAATTATCTTCTTAAAGAAGACGCGTTGTTAGAAGTTTTAATAAAAAAAAAACAATTCAGCCGCAGCGCCACCAATCGCGAGTATCCTTGACTTTAATTATGTAAACACATATAATTTTTATATCGTTATTTTTTTAAACACTAAATAGTAATAATAATGCAGTTTCGATTAATAGGTACAATTATCATTTAATTTCCTAGTCAGGTGGGATGATCATAGAACAGCGGATGTTTAATTTAAATAAATAGATAAATATTTCAAAGGGTGAAGGAAGCGTAAGCATATTATACGTAAATACTAGCTATGTTCCAGCGACTTTGCCCGCGTTAATTATAGCCTATGTCACCCGCATATGATGTAGCTTCTCGTAAGTGAAAGGATTTTCAATATTGACCTATTCAATGTAAATAAACAAATAAAAAACTCTTAATATATTAATATTTATAGACCTTCAACACATTTCAATGGAATGCTATATTTAAAAAGATATTTTATTTCCAAAATTAAATTCTCCAAAAAAAAAGTCACAAAAACCTACAACAAAATGCTTTCTTACGCCTTAATCATTAATACTTAACGCCAGCGTAAAAAGAAGAAATTTCTCAAGAAAATGGCTCGCTTAGCAGGCGACAGTAAACAACATCATAATTATGATTATATATGGGTCAAAGGTTATACGACATCTTAGTGCTTCGTTAAACTGCCTCAGTTGAGTACGCTGCAAAAAATCACTTAGGAATCTCTTCGAATAGCGGCACGTTAAATCTTTAGCCGTTGGCGCGTTGCCATAACCGAGCTATAACATTCTGCCAAAATAATGCATTAAAAACTCTTTCACAGTATAACGAATACTTAAAGTTTACACGGAGGCGTGATTCAAACGTCCTTGGATTTGAACGTTTGCGCTAAAATCGGGTCAGACGTCTTGAAACGGGTGGCATGATTTAGTTCGGAGGTTTCTCAAAGTGGACCGACTTTCCGTAAGATGGATCGAAGCTTTTAGCTCAATTTGAGTCGCTACAGCTGCGTACGGTAAAGTGCACACGGCCTGTAATGGGATTACGGCGGCGTACGTATAAATTACGCATGAGCTGCGACTACCACCTGTAATCAATGATAAATTGGTCGAGGGAAAATATTTCTTTAGCCCTCTTTAGAACCGCACAATTTTCTGTAACTTGAAGATATAGACGGAAACCTTTTATCTTTACGACTGACCGTCAAATAAAATACTAAATATAGTTACAGACAAAGCTTTTTCTAGGTTAAAATGCGTAGTTTCTATTTAGAACTAACCTTATTGCCCATGTAATATAAATATTTGATCTATCTACAATTTTTTTATCAGAAAAAGAAAAATAACACGTAATCTAAAATAGGTAAACGTGTACTTCATGTTATAATTTAGGGCATTATATGAGTAGACAATATCATAATATTCAGAGAATAACCAGTAATGAAAACAAATGGTAGCCTGAACAAGCCGGAAGATAAAAGCGGATGACACCGACCAAACAAAAGATCCCCAACAAAATGTTATTTTTCCTAATTCAGTGTGTTACTATAAATAGGACAAATTATCGAGTTACTTCCTCGTAATGTAGTTCATAGTAACATTAATTCATTATTTTGGGTTTGAATACGTGATAAAATACTATTTATCACGTATTCAAACCCAAATTTTTAAATGATCTAACAAATAATGTGTCTTTTTAAATTGAAACCCAAGATCGACGTCTTGAAAACAATTTTTTATTTGAATCTGTTCATGTTCTATGTTACATTTAATATGATGTCAGATATACTACTAGCGGATAAAGAAGACGCTTCTATCAATATCGTACAATATTAACAAATTATGATAACTAGCTTAAAAATCATAGAGTAATTTAAAGTGAAGTTGTTAAGCAGAATATGTACATATTCTGCTTAAACCTGCTTAAACCTCTGGAAAATTTAAAACCACAATAATAATGTAAAAAGTGATTCAGATGGATGGTACTGTCAATAGCTCGTCAGGATTATACAAAACTGTCATTCACTTGATTTTCGAACCTTCACACATTTTAATCGAGTAGGCATAAAATCATTTGAGGAAATTTGACACATTCTGATGGATGTGCATGCAGCCGTGTGTAAATTGTCAACATAATAATTCCCCTTTGCTTCACCGTAGTCGAAAAAAATTAAATATAACAATTTTAAATTTCAATAAAGCTTATGTGATTAAAACCTTTTTATATAATACCTTTTTTGATAGAATACCTTTTTATATGAAGTAAAAATCATTTATCATATAATTTAGCCCTCACGCCGCGTCTAGTCTGTCTAGGTGCAATAAACTCACAACAGTGTTACTGTATTTGATCAATAATGCACTCACAATGCTATACTGATAAATAATATTAAGGAAACATTCTTAAAAAATCCACTAGCCTCAGGCAACCCGAGGTGGGGCTTAAACCAAAAAAAATCTCGCAAACTATTCTCGTTAAAGTAAAAGTTTTGCGTATCACCATCATCACCATCACCAGCCCTTTTACGTCCCCACAGCTGGGGCTCAGGCCTTCCTTATGGATGGTTAAGGAGGAGGCTTATAGCCCTCGACTACAAAGTGATTCACATATTTATCAATTTTCCCTATAGAAAAAAAGAACAAAAGTAATAGATATATTTTAGGGATAATTTTGTATCGGTTTACTGGCGAGAAAATTTTATAAATTCACACGATGTAATGTGTTTTTTTTAATTAGTGCCTATTTAGACGTATTTTTTTAATACATAACCATTCGAAAGGTAGTGATTTTATTTTTGTAGGTATTTATCCAATTTCCATAATAAGGTGCTGTATCTACAGGGATCTGGACCTCGAAACTAATGTTAGTGAAATAGCAAGAGCATCATGATAAATCAAAGATGACAGTTTTTATATTATTTTGCGATATATCTAATGACAAATCTTTGTTAAAAGGTTTCTTTTATAATAATTGTTTAATAAGGGAATGCCATTTATATCTAGTATTTATCAAATTCACATTATTTGACGCTCAAAGCATCAGAGTCGATATAATATGACCTCTATAAATATTTAAAACCTTTTTTTTGCATAATCGAAAGAAAAAAACGACAACACACTGACTTGAAATGTGGCATGACATTACACCTTTAAGTATATATTTTCTACATAGTTATGTATATGCATATTATCTAAGTTATTTTTGTTAAATTGAAGCAAATAAAGTCATCATCCCTTCATTGACATTCGATAATTAGGTATGTTTATAATGCCATAGCCATAGATGTAAAGTTGAAAATATTTAATCAATTATTTTATTATTATTTATACAGGTGTCACGATCTGGTGCCCAGCAAGTAGTGCTAAGGGGAGCAACTCGTGGACTCAGCGGTCGCTACAGATGTGAAGTGTCTGCAGATGCGCCATTCTTTCATACAGTTTATAAAAGCGCTTTTATGCGCGTCGTTGGTGAGTTCTTCATTAAACTTCGCAATAGCCTTAGCCTTTATCGCGTTATGACATAACCACTTAACTTTTATTTAAGCATGCCTGTACTGTCTATGTCATAACATAGGCTTGGATGTGTTATAAAAACTCGGCCTACTTAGATAATAAGTATACGTAAGTTTTGCATTTCCTAAATATTGTTAGGTATTTTAAAAAGACAAATATTATCATAGAGTTCTGAATACAATAATAATCAAAAATGATTTATGAAATGCAAACAAAATATAAAAAAAAGAACGTTAACGGAAACGATTATCTAACTCAAAGCTCGAATTAAATCTGTAAATTCAAAGAGTTTTATTTACTTACAAAATTTTGCTTGGCATTTTTTGTGTTATATTGAGTTACTTTTATAGGTTTACGTTTGCGTTATAGTTATACTAAAACGAACGTAATCTACTATTACTCAGGGAGTTTTTATTACACCAAACCGTTACTCGGTAACGTGATCGCTCAAACAAAATGAGAAGTGTACTGTCCATCTTTCATACGTGAAGTTGATACAAAAAAAAGCAATAAAGAATGAGCATAATAAATTGTTGTCCATAGTCCTCACTAGGGCGTTAATATTGCAAAACACCTGTTGCCCCTCAGAAGAAATTATGTCGTACGTGACATTCGAGCTACGAGTATTATCTGCGATTAGAAGAAAACAAATAGCATTATATTTCGTAAGGATATACCTAATAATATTATTAGGATTAAATATTTTAAATATTTTTAAATGGCGCATCGGTTGCTGTGTTCGGTCATTGATTGTGAAGATGAAGCGACTTTTGTAAAGGCCAATCACAGGATCAGCATCATCATCATTAGCCCTATTTATGTCACCACTGGAGGGGCTCAGGCCTTCCTTATAGATGGATAAGGAGGATGGGCCATGACCCTCCATGCTGCCCGATGCAGATTGAAGGGTATTAACGACTGCAAATGCTGCCGAGACCAACGGCTTAACATGTTTTCCGAAGCATGGAATAGCTCGAGATAATATTTATTGGTCACCTATCCCATTACTAACCCTCGTGAAAGTTGCATAACAACACCACCACCACGGCATCGAGCCAAATGACCAAAAATGTAGTATCTCGAACTCGAATCCCTATAATGGTTTATGTTCATTGCGTTTGTTTAATTACTCGTATATTTTATCATCTATTACACTACATAAGCGATAAATCGACAGAGCACTACGTGATTTGCTAACAAAGTAGAATTTAATGAAAGCGAACATAGATTCCTAGTAGAACCTTATAAAGTATGTTTTATTGATCAATGAATAAGCTTCCATTTTATATATTTTGTTATATTATATCTAAACAATTCGGTTTGCTTGTCTCAATTACAGAGCCAAGCAAACCGAATAATATATGATATTTTTTCCCATTGTTTTTGTCGTTTAGGATAAGTTAATAAAAAGATCATCTAGCTGTCAGCCAAGATCTATTTATTATGTAATAAGGTCAACTCACTTGTGACGTCACAAACGAACAATTAGAAATTGAGGGTATCATAACTCATAAATTCTTTTTTTTTATGGAATATATAACACAAAATCCGTATACATACTAAACTTATTTAGTTTTTTTGTAAAATTAACATGGGCCAGCCATAACCTTTCTATACGAAGAAAAATATTAGACAGATAATAAAAAAGAAATCTCATAATTCGTTGAAATAACATGTCCACACGTTTTGGTTCAGTGGTCTGAAATAAAAAAATAACTTCGAAACTCACCTTCTAACCTCACCATAACTTACTCTAGCATAAATCGTATAGGAAGTTTAGTTCTGTTCATATTTCAAAAACTTTTGCATTTTGATAGACATGATGGCCTTATCACGCCCTACCACATATCCAGCGACAATTATTTCTTTAAATTAATATCATTTAAACTTGAAACTGTTACAACCATATTATAATTTTATTATTAATTATTTATTTATTTCTTTTAGGAAGACTTAAAGACAAATATTAATAAGGATATATAGTAAATTAATCATATGCCAATTATTAATCTACACAAATAGGAAGATAGTAATAAATCGCCTTCGTATAACTATGCTCCGGTATATAATTACATACTAGGACATAACTATATTACGGCTATTTCTATCTTACTACAACATATATATCATACACACATATACATACTCAAATCAGATAGACTGGGGCTTATTTGCAAGATTGATATAGTGTTCACGAACCAGAGTTTTGAATAGAACTTTGTTGGGAGCTTTCCTATTGTTATGGGATAGGGGATTCCAGAGTTGTATTGCAGTTGACAGAAATGATACAAAAAGACAGTTTTAGATAACTTTAAATATGAGCTGTTAAATATATATTCTTAAATAATTGTTTTTTTTTTAATTGAAATTTGAAACCTAAAATATTTTTTTAATTATACATGTTACGCTCAACGAACGAAATCGCTCATTGCGCGAATGAAAAAATAATTTACAAAGCTTTGTGGTGACAGTAAAATATCTAAGTAGGGAAAAAATAAAATTTCTTAATAAAAAAAAACAGATTTTTATAAAATTATTTTCATTCATTGGTCGTATATACTAAATAAAATTGAAAAAACAAACAATCAGACTTTCCTACCAGAATTGACCAAAACCTCTAGGTTGATTAACTGCAAATACGCAGGCGGTATGTCGATAAAACTAGATATAGTTTGTTACGTGTATCTTTTACAGATTCGAATGGGCTTCGACTATTTTGTTTTGGAGATAGCGGGAAACAAATTCAATATTTATTCATTCACATATATTGTTTTATCCTTGTTACGTTTTTATTATCTTTATTTTTTATTTGCCAAAAACAGATCTCAATCTGAAGATGTTTATAAATTCCTCCAAAATGTCCCGAACTCCATGTCTCGCATTCCTCGTTTTGGCACGTTTAATTACGTACGCACAATCAAGCGGTTAGAACTTCGAACGCGGCATGCCACACACGTTCAAGTAAACTTGCCCACGCGGAAGATTGCGCAAGATCAGATTCGAAATTTAAAACTTTTTTAAACTTCTACAACACACGTTACAGAATACTTGTACAAGCCTAAACTTGCACAAGTATATCGTTACGTGTATGGCTGGCATAATAGAGTTCGAAAGTAGTATAAATTAGAGGAGCGAAATAAAAAGCGTCTATTCGATAACGATTATATTACGAGACAAAACATTAAGTTTGTAACAAACATATCCGTCATTTAGTATTCCTATCGAAATGCATAACACTAATTATATTCTTTCTTCTTCTTGGTCGTATCCATCATGATTGAGGAGCGTGGTCGGTAATTGTCTTTAGCGGGCATGCCCGAGGGCAAGTCTACAGATATGCTCGACGGACCTCGTTACTATAGGGTGGACTTATCTGGCTAGTAAAGAATCGTAGTAGTCGTTACATGGACCTACAGTAACGAAGTCTGGAAAGCATGTCTGCAGACTTACCAGCGGACATGCCCGTTCAATGAATTCCTCGCTTCACTAGCATGAATGCATTTTCGCTATCACTTGAGTTCTTTTGCGCACCTGGTGGAATTTATGGGAATGTACACCCAAATTTTGTTAGTTCGACCTAATTTTCGCCACCTCCTCTCATTATATGCCCAAAACAACGCAGAACACGCTGGTCACATATTAAAGACACACGCGTCTTTGTATTGAGTTCTGAAAGTATGGTACGTTTCGCAGTCAATGTTGTTCGAAACATACGCCTGCAGCACCACATTTCAAAGACAGCAATGATTTTGATCATTCAAGTTTCAGCTCCATAGTTAAAAAAGGAAAACAAGTGCTCGACGAAATCGCATTTTGATGTTCCTGGAAATTTTACGATTTGTACCTTGGAGTACCCACTGTCCTTGTTATATAATATTGCCAATTATATATACATACCCTTAATAATAAAAACGATTGTTTAACACAAAAAATCTATTTACAATAAAGAGATATAAAAGCTCAATGGCATGATGGTTGTCGCGTTCGTTCTGCACTGCGGAGGTAAGGCAACATTTGCAAGGCTGTTGATGGTAATAACCGTTGCTCGATGCCGTAGTGAATAAGCACCACCGCCCGCGATTATTGTTGTTAAGCAACTTTCGCATGGGTCGGTCACGGGATAGGTGACAAAAAAATATTATCTCGTGCTTCTAATGGCTGCATTTGCAGTCGTTAATACCCTCCAATCCACATTAGGCCAACGTGGAGGATCATTGCCCATCCTCCTTAACCATTCATAAGGAAGCAGTGGTGACGTAAAAGAACTAACGATGATGATGTTAATAATATATAAAAGCAAGCAAACACTCACTGATTTATTAAAACATCACTTTAACTACGGGGAGGATATAGGGCACAATATTAGTGTGCCAAATTTCAGTTCGATTTTATGACATTATTCAGAATTTCAGAAAGATATTGTGACATAGGTAGATAACTTAAATTTCACTCAACAATCATTGTCAAAAGGTTAAAAAGGATTTTAAAAATCATATATTCCACGTAGCTAAAACCATGGCTGGAAAGCTTTTCCCTCAACCTCTTTCACAGAATGTTTCTATTATATTCGCTTTATAGCATGTTCGAGTAAAAAATATAAAGACTACATAATTACAAATAGCAGCAATGTGACTTAATGTGACGGGTTCGGTGCTTTGATGTTGGTATTAGACGAAACAGCTGACTGGACTTGATAAGTAGATATATTTATGGTATAAACAAAAAACCCGTTTCAGGGATTTCCTATGAATTTATTGGATATTTCACGTAGAATCATCATATAATTTTACATGTTTCTTATTTAAATACTGATTTTTATATGATTAAATTAACATGTTCTCGTCGGATGAATTTTTCGCGAACTGACATACAGAAGGAGCATATCGCTATACTCAACACTTCAAATAACGAAAAGCGAATAAAAAAGAAATGATCTTAAAGATCAAAGACAAAAA